AGTGTGTGTATATATATATATATATATATATATATATATATATATACCTCAGCGCGTGCTCGGCAAACGTGTAAAGTGGCCGTCTCTTACGCCCGCATGCTTTCTTTGTTCTTACGCCGTCACAGTTATTTATTGAGGACTTCCGTTTCCTCTACATGGCCCCAAAAGACATACCCACCTCGGACGCTACCCGAGACGGCATAAGCCTCACAGATGGGACCCGGTCCAATCAAGTGTGTATACAAATATACGCCACGTGGTTTCATGGGGGTACGTGTGTAGTATGCTTATGGGCTCAAAAGTCAACGCTCACAGAATCTTTGACCGACGACCTGTAAGACCTACAAATTCCATGCATGAATCCGTGGCGTAAATTCATTTACTCGTATTGGATCTCAATGCTTACCTACGTGGTTATTTAACGAAGTGGCGGTGACGGCCAAATACGACCTTCCAAGACAGTGTTCGGAACAAAAGGCCTCTTCCTCCTCTATCATCTTCTCCTCGCCATGAACCAACAAGATCTGGACTGCGTTCTGGTGCCGGCCGGCCTCACCATCATGTTGGCTTACCATCTATGGCTTCTCCGCCGCATCGCTAAACACCCGACCAAGACTGTCTCTCTCTTTCTCTCTCTCAAATGCATACCTGTTCATGCAGATGTTGGCATCATGATACAGAACTCGACTAAGAACGGAGTCGTGGCTATCCAAACCCTAAGGAACAACATAATGGCGTCGACGTTGTTAGCCACCACAGCGTTCATGCTCTGCTCGGTGATCGTCTACCTAATGACCAACAGCGGCGGGAATGGAAGCTCAAGCAAGCACAGCGGACAGGACTTGGTGCTGGGCGACCGAAGCAAGCTGGGTCTCTCCGTCGAGCTGTTCTCCATCTTAGTCTGCTTCGTGTTCGCCTTGCTTCTAAACATCGAAGCCGTTCGGTACTACAGCCACGTTAGCATCCTCATCAACGTGCCTCTCCGGGGCCGGCGGTCACCGGCGCACCTCGATACAGCGGAATATGTCGCCAAGGCCATGAACAAGGGGAGCTATTTCTGGTCTGGTGGACTCCACCCCTTCGACCTTTCCCTTCCTTTCTTCCTGTGGATCTCTGGGCCCATTTCCATGGTCATCCGCTGCTTGCTACTGGTGTGCTTCTTGTACCGAGGAGGAGAAAGAGAATGGTGGTGGTGGTGGCGGTGAGAGGATGATGGAGAGTGCATTGGGGGATCTGCGCGACCAGAATCGACCGGTTGGGTCCAGATCTAATCGGTCACATGCAATGTAGTATTTTTAACGCTGACAACATCGCATTATGCATGCACTTTGGCATAAGAGACAACCAAATCTGCACTATCTCACGTCAACAAATGCAATGCACAGAATCATGTGTGTGCGTGTGGATCCCACACTACTTCCTCAACACGTCAAGTTCGTGAGAGGCTACTGCCGATGTGTTTGTGGACAATGCAGCTTAGAGAGAGTTTCTTTTCAAGGAATTTGGGGTATCGACGGTCGATGAGGAGATTGCTGCTATTATGATGGTGAGTTTGTCCAGTTAGTGGTATCTTTTCGGTGACATCAAACTCATATTCTAACTTTCATGTTAACGCTGGCAATTCTCTCAACAATTTAGCAGAGTTAGTGTTGGTGAACAAATGTGTCGTGACTGATGAGTCAGCACGGCCTAGTTCACGAGCCGATGTCGAGAGTCTTCGATCGATGAGTTGGTTGCTGAAGTCGATCACGCTCTCGGGTCGGGGCGGGGCGCTGGAAGCCGTGCGCTGACGTCTCTCGATTGGGATGACGATGGTAGCCCGGTGAACTTCGCTTTCCAGCACATAAAACCCTTGTCGGTTACCGATGTTGGCCCCTCCGATGATCAAGTCAGTGCTTGGTAGGGGGGTATTTGTTTTTGCCTCCCCCTGGCCAGATGCCGACTAAGGGTTTTTATACTATTGCATAAGGGTCGACCATATGTAGGCTTGGTGTGCCAGCCGATTCTCGAGAGGCACATTGGTACCTTTGTGTAATCGTCGTCTCGGGATGCGTGGGATGGTGCCAAGCAGCTGTTGTACGTAGGTTTAGCGTGCCAACTGATTCTAGAGGGAGGTATCGAGGAACGCCTCCATATGGATTTTAATTGGGCACATGGAAAGGGTATGCGTCGGTGGTGACGTGGTGATGATAAAAAATGTTCAATAGAAGCAATAAGAACTAGCAGAGTCATCCAAGTATCAGCAAACGATCATCATGACAAATTTTTGATGCTGACAATACTTTAGATAGGGCATTTCAAAGTGCCTTATGTAATTATTTATAAGATAATTATGATAATAGTTAAGAAATTATATATATATATATATATATATATATATATATATTCTATGTTATAATAATATTGAGAAGGATAAATAAAGTTATCATAAAAGATGAAAAAATATTTATATTTGTAAAGAATTAGATATCGTTTTGAATAAGATAAGTGAGAATTGTTTAAAATGGTATGAAATATGGTCAGGAAATAATTACTATTAATAATGAAGAAAATCTTAAAAAGATTTTAATAAAAATTATAAATAAATATATAATTACTTTAAACTTAATTAAATTTATAAAATTTTATATATTTCAATTACGATAAAATATTTATGTAATCAATACTAAATAGTTAGAATTCATAAATTATTATTATTATATTATTATTTTATAAGAAAAATATAATTTACTATAAAAGAATGTCTCTTATGGTATGAGATGCATAGTCATCAATTTTATCAATAAACATCACCTTTAAATAAAATTATTTTTAAAAATAAATAAATATGAAAAGTTATGTTAGGAAATAAAAAGCATCTTTATGTTGTCTTCTTAGATTTGATAAAGATAAATTAATTAACGGTGACACGTGAAGTGATTCATATATCTCTTAGATTGCTGGGGATTCCATATCCCAAATGTCATGTCCACTATAGATCACATCGTCCTCTACATAGTAACGGAATGATTCGGTCCACCCATCTCTCTCTCTCTCTCTCTCTCTCTATATATATATATATATATATATATATATATATATATATATAAAGAGAAAAATCTTATATAAAAATGGTAGAGAAAATGGGGATTTGAACTTTCGGGTGGGGCCCAAAACACTCGGGAGGAAGAGGATAACAAATGTGGGGTCCACGACAGCACGATGGTAGTCTCGTGATTCATTCCAAATCCCAACCTCTTTCCGTAGTTTTCATCCAGAGGTTTCAATTCCAAATCAAATCGATCCCAATCAACAGATCGGGGAGAGAGAGAGAGAGGGATCGACTCCCCTCATTTCCTCTGTCGCCGGAGATCTCTGATTCGTCGGCCCAGATCTCACCTCTCCCTCTCCGTAAGGCAAGTAGGTGGTTGCTTCGATCCGTAGATCCTTGGATTGTTTTGTTCGTGGAGATTCCTTTCTTTGATTCTATCTCACAGATGGATCTGAGCTTTACTCGTGTGATTGGTTTCGGCTCGTAGATCTCCTCTCCCAGTTGCAATATTTGTCGGCGATACACTCTTCTCTTTGGGGCCGAACGGTGGTTTCCGGCGAATGGAAGAGGTAAAGCATGTTTCGACCTGTGCTCGCTTTTGAGCTTTTCTAGGGTTTCCATGGTTGCTTTCTTCATGTAGGGACATGATTTTGTTTCTCTTTTTTGCTGAGCCTTTTGTATGGTTTGTGGTTTATGCGTTTGTTCCGCTAGATGAGCAGCTTATGGTTCTAAGGGAGAGAGGGAGTAATTGCGGAATTTTGGGATGGAGGATCTCTCCAAGTACGCCCACAGTCCAGCCCACGTCGCCGTAGCACGAAGAGATCATGCAGGCCTCCGGCGGATGGTCGCGGCGCTCCCGCGCCTCCCCAAGGCTGGGGAGGTCACCACTGAGGAGGAGTCCCTCGCCGGCGAGCTCACGGCTGATGCCGTCTCCGCCGTCATCGATCGGCGTGACGTTCCGCACCGGGAAACCCCCCTCCACCTTGCTGTCCGGATGCGCGACCCCATCTCTGCGGAGATCCTCATGTCGGCTGGCGCCGATTGGTCCCTTCAGAATGAGCATGGATGGTCGGCGCTGCAGGAGGCTGTTTGCACCCGTGAGGATGCAATCGCTATGATCATCGCCCGCCACTACCAGCCCCTCGCTTGGGCCAAGTGGTGCCGCCGCCTCCCTCGCATTGTTTCTTCCATCGAGAGGATCCTGGATTTCTACATGGAGATCACCTTCCACTTCGAAAGCTCAGTGATCCCATTCATCAGCAGGATTGCACCATCTGATACTTATCGAATATGGAAGCGGGGTCCAAACCTTAGAGCTGACATGACGCTGGCCGGATTTGATGGCTTCAGAATCCAGCGTTCTGACCAGACATTCCTGTTTCTTGGTCAGGGTGCTCCGGCTGAGGATGTGCATCCACCACTGCCTCCTGGGTCTCTAATCGTGCTTGCTCACAAGGAGAAGGAGATCACAAATGCACTCGAAGGAGCTGGAGCCAAGCCCACAGAAGCAGAGGTGGCTCACGAGGTTGCTTTGATGTCTCAGACTAATATGTACAGGCCAGGTATCGACGTTACGCAAGCTGAGCTTGTTCCTCACTTGAATTGGCGACGTCAGGAGAGGGCTGAAATGGTCGGGAATTGGAAAACTAAAGTCTATGATATGCTAAATGTAATGGTGAGTGTGAAAT